AAAAAGGGAAAGGGAGAAAGCAAGCCAGAAGATCCGGTACTTGAACCACAGTCGGCCGCGTGGAAATCTAGTGCCTTTAACCACCACTCCACCGGCTGGCTCTGCATCTCTTATTTTAATGTAAGTAATTCAATGGACAGAATAAAATATAAAGTTTTAGATTTGTCTTTCACTGATAGCAAAGTCATTTAGAAATAAAATTTATAGTAAGAACTTAGGATAGGGATTACAGGAGAGGAGTTAAAACGTGATAGAGGGGCCAGCAGGGTACGTGATGGTCAAGGCACTGGACTATCACATGGCTGATTGTGGTTCAAGTCTTAGACCTGGCGGCTTTCTTCCTTACTCCCTTTCTCTCTCTCTCTGGTCAAATTAAAAAATGATATTAGGGTGACCAACAGATGGTATAATGTTTATGTCACTGGACTTCCACATAGTCAACCATGATTCAAGTCCCAGACCTGACAGCTTGAAACTCAGGCCAGGTGCATGTGTGTGCATACCCAAAATCCTAAGAGGAGAGTGGAGGCAAGTAGATTGTGGCATGGCCATCCCCCCGGGAGGGTGATTTTTTACTTTCTGTCTCTACTTTCCGTCTGTTTCTCTGGCAAGCATATGCTCCCTATAGCTAAAGTCTTTCTAAATAATAATAATATTAGTTTATCAGGAAAGTCATGATGTTTCTTTTTTCCTTTTTTTATTAATTAATTTACTTTACATACTTTCACTGAACATCACCACAGCATACAAAATGCGATTTTTCCAGCCAGAATACACTATAAAGTGTCTTAATCATACATGTTATCATCAACAATCTCTGGTATCTGCAGTTGCTTTCCATTCTTTTATTCTTTCCCACATTGTATTGATTCACAAAATATCTTAATTAATTTAAATACTTTCAATAGTAAATTCAGCTGATATATACATATCTGTGAACAGAAGTTGACTTTAGGCATGAAACTCTGTGGGTAGAATGAATATACTATAAAATAGCAGATAGTTGAGGCTATACCGCTTACTGTGGTTACTGAATAGGTATTTTTTAAATACATTTTTAATTTCAAGAAAGGCAGTTTTAGCTTTAGTAAATCAAAATCAAAACATGTTAAGAGAACTTTGCTTAATACTTAAACCAGGAAACAGGTCAGGATTCTGTTCTAATAATAGGTGCATGGACCTGTCCACAACTCGAGAGAAGATTTGAGGCTATACCGCTTACTGTGGTTACTGAATAGGTATTTTTTAAATACATTTTTAATTTCAAGAAAGGCAGTTTTAGCTTTAGTAAATCAAAATCAAAACATGTTAAGAGAACTTTGCTTAATACTTAAACCAGGAAACAGGTCAGGATTCTGTTCTAATAATAGGTGCATGGACCTGTCCACAACTCGAGAGAAGATAAAACTCCCTAACACTGGAAAACCAAGCATAGGTCAGTAATGTTTTAGCCAAGTCATAAAATTCTGTTGCACCAGTTGAATCTCATATACTTTATCTTCTGTTGTGGTCTGATCTTTGCATTTACATTCTGGAAAAATATGGCACGTTTCCCGAATTTGCGTGTCATCCTTGGGCGGGGGCCATGCTAATCTACTCTCTGTGTTCCAGTGTTACTATATGTGCTGCCGACGTGAGTGCATCATGATGTATTTTTCTGTGCAAACATGTGTCATGATTTTCCTGAAAACTCAGTATATATATAAAATTAAATAAATAATGCTTGAAGAAAAACTAGGTAGAGGATGTGAAGACCACCTTTTCATTATCTTCCAGTTTTTCTAAACTCAGCTATCAGCAGAACCTGGTGACTAATTAATACTGCAATTAAAGAAAAGATGAGAGTTTTAAAAATTACCCTCTTCCTCTCTAAAAGATTCCTTTTTAAATCCATTTCATCATCTCTAATGTTTTAAATTAAATTTTGCTGGGAACCAGCAGTTAGCCTAATGGCTATGTCGCTGGATTCCCACATAGTCGACCGTGGTTCGTGTCCTGGACCCGGTGGCTTAAATCCCACGCCAGGCGCGTGTGCGGGCGTGCCCAAGATCCCGAGAGGAGAATGGAGGAGAAGGGATTGCGACGTGACCATCCCCCCTAGGGGGTAATTTCTCGCTTTCTGTCTCTATGTCTCTCTCTGTCTGTCTGGTGAGTGCACGCGCCCTGTAGTGAAAAAAATATTAAATTTTGCTTATGTTTACTTCACTTGTTTCTAGTAAATCAGTTTCATGATCTGGTACTTCTCTTTTCCTTTTCCCTCTTCCTGTTCTTTGCAAACCAAACCAAACATCTCCTTTTATTGAATAGGTAACAGGTGAGACAGAGTGGTTAATTTCCTTTACTAAGTATTTTAGTACTCTGTACTGGCATGGCACAGTTACTGATTTCATTGTCAATGGCCATCTAATTCTTTGACATTGTTTTTCAACTAATAGAGTGACTTTCATCTCTAACACATAGCTGTGAGAGGAGAATGGAGGAGAAGGGATTGCGACGTGACCATCCCCCCTAGGGGGTAATTTCTCGCTTTCTGTCTCTATGTCTCTCTCTGTCTGTCTGGTGAGTGCACGCGCCCTGTAGTGAAAAAAATATTAAATTTTGCTTATGTTTACTTCACTTGTTTCTAGTAAATCAGTTTCATGATCTGGTACTTCTCTTTTCCTTTTCCCTCTTCCTGTTCTTTGCAAACCAAACCAAACATCTCCTTTTATTGAATAGGTAACAGGTGAGACAGAGTGGTTAATTTCCTTTACTAAGTATTTTAGTACTCTGTACTGGCATGGCACAGTTACTGATTTCATTGTCAATGGCCATCTAATTCTTTGACATTGTTTTTCAACTAATAGAGTGACTTTCATCTCTAACACATAGCTGTGACCTAGTACATAGAACTCCAAGAGCTGGAATTCAACCAGTTCACTTGATTTGAGCTGGTCTACTTATCTGTGAACTAAATATTTAGAAATATCTTTCAGGGGCTGGTCCCTTAGCCCTCTACTCAGGGAGCCAGATCCCACATGGCTGACTGCAGTTTGAATCCCAGGCCTGGAGGTTTGAAAAATACACCACGCACATGTGGGTGCATACCCAGAATCCCAGCAAGATGGAGACATGGAAAAGAAGGGATTGCAGCACAACTATGTCCCATTGGGACATAGTTTCTCCCTCTTTCTCCCTCTTCCATTCTGTCTGTCTGTCTCTCTCTCTGACAAGCACACTTGCCCTCTGGCAATTAAAAAAAAAAAAAAAAGGAGGAGCCAGCAGGTAGTGTAGTGGTTAAGCCACTGGACTCCCACATGACCAACTGCAGTTTGAGTTCTGGACCTGGCAGCTTGAAACACACCAAGCGTGCATGTGTGGGTACCCAAAATCCCAAGAAGAGAATGGAGGAGAAGGGATTGCAATGTGGCTATCCCCCCTGTGGGGTGATTTTTGCTTTCTGTCTCTCTGGCAAGAGCATGTGCTCTATAGCAAAAATCTCTCAGGAAAAAAGAAATGTCATATAGACAAACACAAGGTTTATAGCACTAGTACTTCAAGGACTAAAGAAAAAGTAACAGACCAGCCCTTGGCATGGTGGTTAAGGCAGCTGGATTCCACATGGCTCACCATGCAGTTGAGTCCCAGACCAGTGACTAGAAAAAACACGCCAGGCACATATCCATGCCTGTCCAAAATCCAGAAAGAAAAAATGGAGGTTAAGGGATTGTGGCATGACTATGCCCCATGGGGTACTTTCTCACTTTCATTCTTTCTCTCTTTTGCGCTCTCTCTTTCAAGCAAGCTCATGGGCCCTCTGGTAAAATTTTGAAAGAAAAAGAAAAAGTGACTTGCACATCATACAGTTCTGCAAGTTGGGAAGAAGAATCAGTGTAAGAATATGCTAAAGTGCCAGACTTTGGGGGCCAACAGGTAGTGTGGTAGTTAAAGGCGCTGGGTTCCCATGTGGCTGACCATGGTTCGAATTCCAGACCTGGCAGCTTGCTTTTTCTCTCTTTCTCTCTCTCTGTCTCTCTCTGGTCAAATTAAAAATAAATAATAATAATAATAACCAACGGAAATCAATCCTTTAAAAAAAAATAGCCAGACTTTGAACAGTGTTTTTTGTTTTGGTTATTTCAGAACTATTTCTATCTAGTGAAGAATTAACATCGTGGTGTTCATGTCAGTTCATTTGTGGAAATTATGTGGTTTTTAAAAATTAACCACTTAATTTTTTGTCAGCATAGAAGCCCCAAGGAAAATAATGTTGAAAATGAGTAAATGGAGCTCAGTGTTCTCACCGGAGTGTTTAGTGGAAAGAACTCAAAACATAAAGAGACACTACTTGACTGTACTTTCAGTATTAAATTGATGAAAATGGAGGCTTAATAGAAATGTTCTAAGGCGCAAATATCTAATGGATATTTTAAATTTAGCTTTAGATGAAACAGTTTAACAGCATAATTAAAGGCAAAATTACAAAAGCCTAGGTAGTAGGATTTTTTCTAAGCTTAAACCGTTTTTTTTTTCTGATTACCTAATTGCTAATTTTTAAGAAGTCAATTAATACAGAGAGGGAGGAAATACATTACATAAACCTTGCAAGCCACAGATAAGAATTGTTAGATTTTGTGAACTTGGTTTCAGCCATCTCTTCATACATAACTTATGTACGAATATGTATGCATGTGGTTTAACTTAAGGAGAAATATACTTTTAGAATGTTCTGTAACGGATCCTGTCATTTTCAATATGTTATGGACATCTTTCCAAATCTATACATATTGATCTATTCTAGCTTTCTAAATGGATGCATACTTTTACAGTCTGTACAGATACACAGTTCAGTCAGTCATTCTCACACTGATGAACATTTAGGTTGTTCCCAAGGTTTTCTTTTACTTAGCAATGTCATGGTGAACATTCCTGTCATATTTCTTTCTTTTTCTCTTCCTTTCTCTCTTTCTTTTTATTTTTTGGAGAAGTTTTTGCTATAGGGCACATGCACTCACCAGGAAGACAGAGAGAGACAGAGAGACAGAAAGCGAGGGTGGGGGATGGCCATGCTGCAATTCCTTCTCCTCCATTTTCCTCTTGAGATCTTGGGCACGTATGCACACGTACCTGGCGTGAGTTTAAGCCATCGGGTCCAGGACTTGAACCACGGTCGACTACATGGGAGTCCAGTGACGTACCTATTACACCATCTGCTGGTCCCTCTTCCTTTTTTTAAAAAAGAATTATTTTTATTTAACTTTATTTATCCATTTATTTATTTCATTTTAATTTGACCAGAGAGGGAGAGCGAGAAAGAAAGGAAGGAAGCTGCCAGGTCCAGGACTTGAACCATGGTTGACCCTGGTTGGCCATGTGGGAGTTGGTGCCCTTAACTACCATGCCACCTGCCAGCCCCCATATTTATTTCTTTACTTAAATTTATTTATTTATTTACTTATTTTTCCTTTTTTTGGAGAGGTTTTTTTGCTATAGGGCATGTGCACTCGCCAGACAGACAGAGAGAGACAGAGAGACAGAAAGCGAGAAATCGCCCCCCCACGGGGGACGGCCACATCGCAATCCCTTCTCCTCCATTCTCTTCTCAGGATCTTGGGCACGCACGCACAAGCACCCGGCATGAGTTTAAGCCACTGGGTCCGGGACTCAAACTGCAGTCGACTACGTGGGAATCTAGCAACATAGCCATTACGCTAACTGCTGGTCCCTTAAATTTATTTATTTAAATAAAATACAACTCAGAGTCTCTACTCATCAAGGTAGATTGATGCCATGAGTTATTTCTGAGATTTCTTTCCTCACTGTAGTAACTATACAACACTTCTAGGGTTTGAGTGGTCAGGGAAACTAGAAAGGATAAGGCTGTCCATCTCTGAAGGTCTTCTGCACTCTTGGGAGTGAAGCTTCTCAGCAGTCTTGCTGATTCTTTCAGAGTCCCCGTGCTTAGTGACCTGTCTCTCAGAAATCCTGCAGCCATTCCAACCTGATCCTGTCCTCTTCTAGATGCTCTGAGAGACACACTTGGAAATTTTAAAATCTCACAATCCCTCCTCAGCCTCAGTGCAATGCATTTTTGTCTTTATATTAGCAAAGAGTTCTTGGAAAACAAAGGCTTATTCATTCTCTGCTGGGTCAAGGGAAGGACAGAACTCCAGCCCTGGCTATTTTCTGGCAGAGATGGGAAGAAGAACTGTCACTGTCTTTCCAGATAAACATATAACAGCCAACTAGACAGTTGACTTTGGAGGAATTACTTAACCGTCTTAAACCTCAAATTCTTTATCTCTAAGATAGGAACAAATAGCAGCTCCATCCTGCCAGTTGTAGAGGCCAAAAAACATACCTTCATTCTCTCACCCTCTAGCTATCATAGTCTGGCTCCTAAACTTTCAAAAGAGATTCAGAACCTGACCATGTTTTCTTACTTCTTCTGCTTGCACCCAGGGCCAAGCTCCGTCATGTCTTAACTGCGGTTGTTGCAGCAGTAACCTTTTAACAAATTCACCCTAATTCTGTCCTTGTTCTTCTGTGATCAGCTTCCAAGACAACAGCTTGTGACTCTCAAAATGATGAATGGCCTTGGGCTGTCTCTGTGGCCTGGTGGTTAAGACAGCTAGATCCTGCATGGCCTATCCTGTGGTTGAAGTCCTGGACCTAGCAGCTTGAGAAGTACGTTGGTCATGTGTGCATATGTACGCATGCCCCAAATCTGGACGGGCTGGAGAGATGGAGAAGAGGGGATTGTGCAGTGACGAGGGTGCTTTCTCTCGCTCCCTCATTCTCTGTCTCTGTCTTTCTCTGGGAAGCACATGTGCCCCCTGGCAAAATTTAAAAGCAAACAAATAAAAACTAATGATAGCTTTACAACCAACTAAGAGAGTAGTGCAAAATTCTTAGGCTTGTCTATAAAGCCCTTCTATGTGGTTTAGCGCGATCTCCTCCACTTCTCTAACTTCAACTCCAGCCATCTTCCCCATCAATCACTCTACCCTTGCCAATTTGCCGTTTTCTCTGCCTTCAGCTATCTTCAAGGCTAATAGGTGTCTCCATTCAGGTATTTCCTCAAACTATTGCTTTTATCAGTATTTCCATACCCTGCTTCGTTTCCTCCCACAGCACTATCACTGACATCTTATTTGTTTATAATTTGTCTCTCCCCCCCTTTTTTTTAGAAAGAGTTTTACTTCAGGGCACGTGCATGCAATGGAGTGACAGAGAGACAGAAAGCAAGAAATCACCCCTCTCAGGGGACGATGGGCATGCTGCAGTCCCTTCTCCTCCATTCTCCTCTCAGGATCTTGGGCATGCATGCACATGTGCCTGGCGTGAGTTTGAAGCCACCAGTCTGGGTCTCGAACTGTGGTTAACTATGTGGGAGTCTAACAACTGTAACCCTTATGCTGTCTGCTGGCCCCTACATTCCAGTTTTAAGAGAGAAATTATAGGGACCAACGTAATGGTGTAATGGTTACATTGCTAGACTCCCACATAGTCAACTGCAGTTCGGGTCCCAGACCAGTGGCTTAAAACTCATGCCAGACACATGTGCATGTGTGCCCAAGTTCTCAAGAGGAGAATGGAGGAGAAGGGATTGTGGCGTAGCCATTCCCCCCCCCCTCCCCGCCCCACCCCAGGGAGTGATTTCTTGCTTTCTGTCTCTGTTGCTCTCTGTCTCTTTGGCGAACACATGTGCTCTATAGCAAAAATCTCTCTAAACAAAACAAAACAAAACCCTGGAATGTAAGCCTGTTGGAGAGAGACTTGTCTATTTAGTTTTTCAGTCCCTGGTGTGGTGTGTGGCACACTTTAGGGGCTCAATAAATATTTGCCAAATGAATGAATGGACAATAATCTATCCATCAGGTGGGGTGACAATTCACGGAAACAATGTCGTTGTTTTCTAGGAAAAGCAAGGGCTGTGTAAATACACATTGTTGCATCATTGTTATGTTTAAGCTAGGCTTTGGAGAATGTATTTGAGAAAGGGTGTTCCAGCAAAGAGGCTGAGCAGGTGTGAACCTAGAAATAGGAAATGCCTTGTGGATAGGTGTGGCCTCTCCTAAAAGTCTATAAGAAAACTGGAAAATGGATAGGGTTGTAGATAGTATAGGGTTGGAGCAGATGTGGAAGAAACTGAATTCAAAGCTCAGAAGTCTAGGTTTTGTCCCTAATGGGATCGGCTGGGATTTTCAGCAGAGGAAAATATGACAAAATCTTGACTTTGGAAATATCTGTGATCATAATCAGTTATCCTTCTTTGCAGAGGTTTATTTTCTACCTTCTGAGGGGTGGATTACTCCAAGAAGAACACTGAGTTTCTTAAGAAACAGTGGTGGGCCTTTCTTTTCTTTTCTTTTCTTTCTTTCTTTCTTTTTTTTTTTTTTTTTTTGCTATAGGGCGCATGCGCTTACCAGAAAGAGAGAGACAGAGACAGAAAGCGAGAAATCATCCCCCAGGGGGGATGGCCACACCACAGTCCCTTCTCCTCCATTCTCCTCTCGGGATCTTGGTCATGCACGAACACGCGCTCGGCGTGAGTTTAAACCACCAGGTCCAGGACTCGAACCGCGGTCAGTTACATGGGAGTTCAGCGGCACAGCCATTACGCTAACTGCTGGTCCCCAGTGGTGGACCTTTCTGGTTACAGGTTGACAGAATCTGGCCAATGACCATCTATCCATCATCCCCTCTCTTCATACAGGCATCAGGCATGGTCCATGGGCTGGAAGAAGAGGAGAAGGAAAGCTGAGAGCCAGGGCCTTGGTGATGCACTTTCAAAGCCAGTTTGGGTTGCTTGGCTTCTAATTTAGCTATGTTGCCCCTTAAATTTGCTTAACCTTTGGAGCAAGTCTATTTCAAACTCTGGCTGTGCTTCATTCTTTTTTTGCTCTCACATACAATTTTGAGCATGTCTCTCTCCATCATATACTTCTCTTTCAGCCTGAAGTGTTGCTCTTCAAGTGTGGCCCATGACCAGCAGCATTAGCATCACTTGGGAACTTACTAGGAATTCAAGCGCGCGCTGGAGCATGTGTGTGTGTGTGTGTGCCCAAAATTCTGAGTGGAGAATGGATTGCTACATGGCCATTCCCCTAGGGGGGTGATTTCTCATTTTCCCCTCTCTCTTTTCTCTGTCTCTGATGACTGCACATGCCCCATAGCAAAATGTTAAAAAAGAAAGAAAAACAGAAAGAGCATTGCTCTTAAGTATCCCTTAACCAATGGCTGCTCCAGTCTCCCTCAGGAGCCCCTCAGCATGTTAAACAAACATAAAGTATAATTACCTTCTGAACAAGCCTCTCTCTCCAGCCAGAGAATTTTCCACCTTCTATCTTCTGTACAGAAATTTTGAAGCAGTGATTGTTCTGAATGTGCAGTATTTCTCAAAGTGGAATCCTCAGATCACCTGCATCTGAATAACCTAGAGGATTTGTTAATAATAAAGATTCCTCCCTTACCTTACCTCTACTGAGCCTGACGCTTATCAAACTAACCACCTTGTTAACTAACACCTAATACATACCAACCATCCATGAACCATCAGAGAACTCCTGCCTGTCTGCAGAAACTAATGTAGCGTCTGACCTTAACACCTCCTCTTTCCTAGTACTGAGTCCTTTGCCAGCTCTGAGCCCATTCCCTCATCCTGTCCTGCAGAGGGTTATTTGAAGTACAGTAATTTAGTTATTGCCCTACTGTTAGTGTTATTTTTGTGAAAGATACTACACAAATCCCTTCCTGGCACCTCTTTTTTTTTTTTTTTTTTTTTATAGGGTGTGCGCGTCACCGGAAAGAGACAGAGAGACAGAAAGCGAGAAATCACCCCCAGGGGGGATGGCCACACTGCAATCCCTTCTCCTTCCGGGATCTTGGGCATGTGCGCACACATGCCCAGCATGATTTTAAGCCACCAAGTCTGGGACTCAAACCAATGGTTGACTACATGGGAGTCCAGCAACGTAGCCATTGCGCCATCTGCTCGTCACCCGGTACCTCTTTTTCAAAAGTATGTGAGTATGCCTAGAATTTCATGTTTTGTTTTGTTTTGTTTTGAAGAGATTTTTGCTATAGGGCATGTGTGTTCGCCAGAGAGACAGAAAGCAAGAAATCACCTCCCAAGGGAGATGGCCATGCCACAATCCCTTCTTCCCCATTCTCCTTTCGGGATCTTGGGGACACATGTACATGGGTTCAGCATGAGTTTTAAGTCTCCCTAGGTTTTGTCCCTAATGGGATCGGCTGGGATTTTCAGCAGAGGAAAATATGACAAAATCTTGACTTTGGAAATATCTGTGATCATAATCAGTTATCCTTCTTTGCAGAGGTTTATTTTCTACCTTCTGAGGGGTGGATTACTCCAAGAAGAACACTGAGTTTCTTAAGAAACAGTGGTGGGCCTTTCTTTTCTTTTCTTTTCTTTCTTTCTTTCTTTTTTTTTAGAAGTTTTTGCTATAGGGCGCATGCGCTTACCAGAAAGAGAGAGACAGAGACAGAAAGCGAGAAATCATCCCCCAGGGGGGATGGCCACACCACAGTCCCTTCTCCTCCATTCTCCTCTCGGGATCTTGGTCATGCACGAACACGCGCTCGGCGTGAGTTTAAACCACCAGGTCCAGGACTCGAACCGCGGTCAGTTACATGGGAGTTCAGCGGCACAGCCATTACGCTAACTGCTGGTCCCCAGTGGTGGACCTTTCTGGTTACAGGTTGACAGAATCTGGCCAATGACCATCTATCCATCATCCCCTCTCTTCATACAGGCATCAGGCATGGTCCATGGGCTGGAAGAAGAGGAGAAGGAAAGCTGAGAGCCAGGGCCTTGGTGATGCACTTTCAAAGCCAGTTTGGGTTGCTTGGCTTCTAATTTAGCTATGTTGCCCCTTAAATTTGCTTAACCTTTGGAGCAAGTCTATTTCAAACTCTGGCTGTGCTTCATTCTTTTTTTGCTCTCACATACAATTTTGAGCATGTCTCTCTCCATCATATACTTCTCTTTCAGCCTGAAGTGTTGCTCTTCAAGTGTGGCCCATGACCAGCAGCATTAGCATCACTTGGGAACTTACTAGGAATGC